GAACTCCCCATCTCCTAGTGATTGGCCCAAAGTCATCCAATTGGCTTCCACACCTAAGGCGGGACTAGAACTCTCAGTCTCCTGGTGATTGGCTGAAAGTCACCCAACTGGCTTCTATGCCTAAAGTCACATTACAAAGTTCTGAATTGGCAGCAGGGAGACCTGAGTTCCAATCTACCCTCCAGGCTGTTCGAGCTGAGCGCTCTTTCTCGCCCCACCTCCCTCGCGGGGTTCAGGAGAGGGCCTGGGGGGGTGGGGGGGTGAGGAGACTGCATGAGAGACAGAATATGATAAATAAATAATTTTGCAGCCTCGGCATTTTTTAAGTCCTTACTGATTTTACAGACGGCAATCGGCTTTGATCTGGAAGCCTCACAGGCATTTTTATTTTTTGCCCCAGAATCAAAAGCAGGAATCCAGAAGGAGCAAATTTAGAAGACTCCCCCCCCCCATCTCCAAATAGAAAAATGGTGTATTTTACAGAATAACAAAGAGTTGGAAGGGATGCTGGAGGTCATCTAGTCCAACCCCCCTGCTCAAGCAGGAGGCCTGATATTCCAGACAAATAGTTGACCGATCCCTTCTTGAAAACCTTCATTGATGAAGCCCCCTGCAACTTCTGGTGGCCAGCAGTTCCACTGGTTCATTGTCCTCACAGTTAGGAAATTTCTCCTTAGTTCTAGGTTGCTTCTCTCTCCTGGATCAGTTTCCATCCGTTGCTTCTCGTCCTGCCTTCTGGGGCTTTGGAGAATAGGTGGACCCCCCCTCTTCTTGGGGGCAGCCCCTCAAAATGCTGGAACTCTGCTATCACGTCACCCTTAATTCTTCTTTATTCACTAAACTGGCCAAACCCAAATCCCAAATGATGATATGAGGGTGCTACGGACTCGATTCACAGCCGATAAAACGTCGCCTCCCTGAAGGTTGCGGAGCCAGCAAATTGCCCCCCAACAATCTGGGTCCTCATTTTACCCACCTCGGAAGGACGGAAGGCTGAGTCAATCTTGAGACGGTCGGGATCGAACTGCTGGCAGTGGGCAGAGTCAGCCTGCAAATACTATATTATAACCACTGCACCAACACAGCTTCCTTACGTCTTCTCATTTCCATTCCTTCTTGTCTTCCTTCCTTCCTTCTCATCTTTCTTCCTTCTTTCCTTTCTTCTTAATCTTCCTTCTCATCTTCTTTCCTTCCCTACTCGTTTTCCTTTCTTCTGTCCTTCTCACTTTCCTTTCTCCTTCTCACCTTCTTTCCTTCCTTGTCTTCCTTCTCACCTTCCTTCCTACTTGCTTTCCTTCCTTCTACCATCTTCCTTCCTTCTTGCTTTCCTTCCTTCCTTCCTTCCTTCCTTCCTTCCTTCCTTCCTCCTTCCTCATCTTCCTTCTCATCTTCCTTCTCATCTTCCTTCCTTCCTACTTGCTTTCCTTCCTCATCTTTCTTATCTTCCTTCTTTCCTAATTTCCTTCCTTCCTTCCTTTCTTCCTACCTTCCTTCCTTCCTTCCTTCCTTCCTATCTTTCTTTCTGCCTTCTTTCCTCCTCGCTTCCTTTCTTCCTCCTCTTCTACCTCCTCCCTTTCCTTCCTTCTCGCCTTCCCGCTTTTCTTCCTTCCTCATCTTCCTTTTCATCTTCCTTCTTTCCTACTTGTTTTCCTTCCTTCCTTCCTTCCTTCCTTCCTTCCTTCCTTC